TCACCTTCCCCTATCTAAAGGCAAAGCAACTACAAGGAAAGCGAACTGGCTACATCAAAATACTGAAGTAAAGCTATGAATGCTGACAACTTAAGCTGAAAAAAAGTACATTAATGGTTATTATTAGTGAAAAAACCTCCAAAGTCACAGTTCCACAACTCTTCCACCATTTGGACCTGGTTTAGATGGCTTTAAAGTGCTTAGACCTCAGCAGAAGGCATCCTCGCCTTGTAAAGGGAACAGAGCTTGGGCTCAGGGAACACAATATTAAAAATAAATCTTTTCATTAGTCATGAATACTCTCAGCTTGAACAGGAGATTCTTCAAGAGCTGGATGCATCTACAAGGAGATTTATGAACCTCTATGGTACAGATCTGAGTCATCACTTTCATGTGGTTGGAGGAGAAACTGAGAACCACATTTCACTGGCCACAAACATATGTTTTTTCCTGTTACAAAAATCTAGCAAGCACAGGAGCTGGAATTCAGGTTATTTTTCCCTTGGGGCTTTTTGTTTGTTTGTTTAGGTCTGTTGTTTTTTAATCCTTATGGACTTTACCCCAAAAAGTCTGCTGCATGTGTTCTCTTCACCTTCTTGATAAAGTTTTGCAAGATTTGAAAACATTAGAGTACACTTCTTTCAGAATGTACATTTTAGTCTACAGCACTACATTTCAGTGCTGAACACTACACCAGTACGTTTTAGTCTGGCCAGGAACTTGCTGTTACATCCTCATGACTAGAAAGAAAACATAAGATTTGCATTCTCACTTTAAAAGCCTATGAGTCACTCATATTTTACTTACAAAGTATCTTTCACTAAGTTTTCTTCCCCTAGTTTGATGGAAATACTGAAAAGTGATGAAAAAATAAAATTGAGTATATCTGAACAAATCAATTAGATCCTTCCTAGGAAGGGGACAACAGAGTTATTCAGCCTTCAGCATATGACACCACTCAAGGCACCAAACTGGAAAAGACTGGAATTCTCTGAACAACTGAAGTTGACCATTAAATAGATAAAAGTGAGTTGCAGTGAAAAAGTGACACCAACTAAGAGGTTGTTAATGGTATTTAATTATCAGCTAAGAAACCAATCTTAATTTATATTCTTAATAACAACCTCAGCACAAGATATAAACAAAACACTAATTAAAAATCCTGGAGTCAAACACAGGAAATATACTGATCTTCCTCTACAGAGATTCCATACAGAAACTCTTGAAGAACTGAAAATTTGAGCAACAGAAACAGGATGAATGTTCCTCACTAAAGTATGTGAATAGAGGAACACAGCAAAAAGCTCTTGTTGGTCTCTGAAGTGGGATTTCAGCCATATAAAACAGTGACAGAAGGACCTGAGTGCACTACCAAACACAGAATGCCATCAGTCATGAGGCTGATGCAGCCACTAGAACCCACAGCCCCAGGATGCAGCAATCTGGCAATAAAAAAGGGTACAAAGCTGCCATCACACAGAGTACAGCACCTCTCATTCACCTCAGGAGGAAGTTCAAGCTGGAGCAGGTACAAAAACAAGCCACTATAAAAGTCAGGATATGAAGTGCTTTTCTCAGTGTAGAGCAAGAGCTTTTGGTTCTATTCCTTACCAAAAAAAAAAAAAAAAAAAAAAAAAAAAAGAATTGCAGCAAGGCCTGCATTACCTTCTGTAACTCTCTTCCTGCAGGAGGGCAGAGAAGGAAGAGGACTGAGTCCATCTCCCTGTCTCTGTGCATGTCTAAAGACACCAGCACTGGTTTGTGTCACTGGAGAGAAGCCACTGTCACTGCTGGAGCAATCCCCGGCCAGCCCCGTGTGAGGCATCAGGGAGCAGCTTCCCCTGAGGCTCCATTCCTCCAGGGAGGAACCTTGGAGAGGCAAGGAATGGATCTGACACAGCAGTCCCAGGCAATGGGCTGATCGTTTTCCTTGTTGGATAACCTGAAGCCTCTGAATGCACCAGTGCCTCTGCACAGGCAGAGCACCTCTGGAAACACCAGAGGTTTCAGCACCAAATTTCCTCTTGGATCAATTCTCTTCCCAAAGGCACAACATCCCCTACAACACAGGCTGAGCCAGCCACTATTACCCTACCAATTTTTTGATTTCCACCCAGTTTCTAAAATAAATATCCAAGTAAGTCTTCTTGCTGGTACAAACCAATAGACAACTCCAGTAATTTGCAAAACAGGAGAACTATTTATTTTCATTAATGTCTGGAAGAGTCCTTGCAAACATGCAGGTAGCTGCAGCCCTGGTGAAACTGCCAGAAACTGGATGCAGCATTAACTAATCCTCCAGTACCACCACCAAATGCACGAGGAAAGACACTGGCATTCAGCAGAGGAAGCTTCTCTGTCACTGAAAGAAAATGAGTGTTTTTTAACAGACTACAGATCCTCAACTAGAGCATGACCAGAAAGGCCTTTGAAAAACACTTTTTGTTTTGCTTTGTTTAGGTTGTTTAATTAAAAGAGAGGTTATCAGATGATTTCAGTGTTCTGAAAAGCTTCAATGTCAGCTGAGCATCACATAAGCAGGTGAGATGTCACTAGACTTGTAATTTCTTCCCTCATCAGCAGTGATGAAAGTTTTACATTCCAGAACTTTGCTTTACATTTAAAACCATACAACTTAAGGCATGTGTTTAAATCATGCTTAACTCCTCTGCTGCTCCTCCCCAAGCACTTTGCCTGCAATACCACAACTCCCAACAACAATCAATAATATTTAATAAGTTGTGTATTCACCCCTACATACATGAGGGCAGAGCCCCTTTTCTCCTTAAAGTGGTTTCTTTCTAGCTATGCCAGCAAATTTATTTAAACTACAGCATAACCAGAACTCCCAACGTCATAGAATCATGCAGGTTGGAAAACATCCTCCAAGATCAAGTTCTTCCAGACAAGCATGATTTTGTTCTAAATATTAAATACTAAGAGAACCTTTAGCTCTATGTGCATGTTGATCCCACAGGGTGTTATGGTCTTGTCCCAGCAATTTTCAAGATTTCCATCTTCAGCCCATCCCCAAAATCCCACCCTCCCATGCATTTCTTATTAAACTTTCTCTTTTTGAGAGGGTGATCTTAAATCACAGGTCAAAGCCTCTCTCTTCCAAATCAGACTGTATTCCAGCTCTCTCCCACATCATGGGAATGAAAAGTTAACAAGCAAAAACCAAAACTTCCATAACAAGACCAGAATCCCTCAGACCAAGGTCAGCACACCGGAGAACAAGCCCATTGCTGGGATTACAGCGCTTAAAAGCAGATAAAGTTGTTTTCACTGATGACAAGCACTTTTAAACATCTTAAAACCAGCCAAATGCAAGGTCACACGTTTGTAAAATACTATCCCAGCTACAGGAATGGGAATTTGTATCAGGGAAGGCATTAAGGACTTTGGGCAGCACTGCAGAGCCACGTGAAACTTAATTCCTGACACGAGTCAGTAGCAAAAGGGACTAACGGGAGCCTTGGAAAGGAGTATCAAGGACAAAGACAATACTCTGTGTTTATATGGCATCACTGAGATCAATAATGGACTGTCACCCTCTCCTCAGGGACCAAGACTTTAACAAGATTTTAAAAGCCAGAAATGCCAGTAGAAATAACTACAAGGACATCAGAGACCTGAAAGAGGCACCCTAAGGACGAGCTGTTTTAACAGAGAAGGTAAAGGGATGGCTTCATTAGCACCAAAGATTACCAATTAGCAAAGAAACCAGTTCTTTTTCACATCTAACACAGAAAATATACAGAAAAACAAAACAATTCAGAGTTCAGTTAAAAACCCGGTTTTAGAGGTTTACTTCATTTGCAAAGTGGAGATAATTGAGGATATTAATAATTAACAACTAAGGCAACTCTGTCACTTGTTGAGAGCGGGTGAGTTGAGGATACATCAATCAAAGGTCAGCAAATGCAGCACAATCGATGCTGGGATGAGCCTCGACATTCCACCACGAGCTCGTTGTGCTGTGGCCCCAGCAGCCCTCCCAAATTCCAGCACCAAGGATGGCTTATCCAAAAGTTGTACCAAAAACATCACACCCAAACCGGGCTGTGGCCACTCCAAACTTGGCTGTCAGCGACCAGAGGCATTCCCCAGGCTGCAGCTGGATGCCATATGGCCAGCAGAGGATGGGACCACCTGGCACAGCAGCACAAACCGATGGCTGTAACAGCTCCTGCCAACCCCCAAACTCCCAGAGGCAGGCGATGAGGGCAGCAGGTGACCCCTTTCCCCTAAGGACACACACAGCAGGGGACACAGCCCAGCATTCCACAGGTCAGGGGCAGGACAGGACGCCCAGCTGCCAAAAAACACAGAGCCCACAAGCACCTGACAGAGGCAGGGCAGGGCAGGAGGGGCACTGACCCCTCTCCTCATTTCACCCAGCACCTGATCAGCCTCTCCCACACCGGTACCTGTTCTTCCCCCCAAATGTGGAGTCAGCTTCTCCTCTTTAGATGCAACTTTCTTTTGCCCATATCTCGTGATAAAGCTATCACCAAACCGGACTCTCCCCGTTTAACTCACCACTCCAAACCTGCAAGCCCAGATCCTCTGCCCCAGGCAACTCCTCCCAAATCCCTTCATGAACCACTTCCCCAAACACAGCGCCAAGCGATGCTACCCCGTCCCTGAACCCCCAGCCCCGCTGAGCACCTCCAGCCCCATTAACACCCCCAAGTCCCGCAGCACAGATCTCCGTCAAACGCAGCCCCCAAACCCTGCTGCGGAGAACCCTGGCATACCCAGCCACCCCAAACTCTCCTGTAGAGGCCCTGCTCAGACACGGCCCTCCCAAAATCAGCCGCACAGAGCCCTCTCCCACACAGAACGCCGCTCACACACAGCCCCGCTCCCGCTCCCCCCGCCGCGGCCTCCCCGCGCGGGCCTCGGCGCAGGCCGCACACAGGCCCAGCCGCCCGGCCACCCCCAGACCCGAGCCCGGAGCGCGTTCCAGGCGCGGTGCCGGGCTCGGCACTCACTCGGGCAGGTAGGTGGAGGAGAAGCTGCTCCAGCGGTGCAGGCTGTAGCCCAACACGCGACTCTCAGCGCCCGCCGGACCCGCCGCCGCCGCCATCTTGTTGTCAGCAGCGGCCCCGGCAGCGACCGCGGGGGGCGGGGCCAAGCTCTTAAAGGGGCCGCGCTCTTAAAGGGGCCGCGCCGGCGGGGGTGGGGACGGTGTGAGGGGGCTGTGGGGCTGCTCTGTGGGGCTGAGGGGTTCAGACGCTGCCCCTCGGGGCTGAGCGGCCGTGAGGCGTTCAGGGGGTGCCCCTTGGGGCTCAGAGGGGCTGAGGGGATGCCCTGAGGGACTCAGAGGCTGTCCCGAGGAGCTGAGGGGCTCAGAGGGGCTGTGGGTCTGAGGGGATGCTCTGAGGGACTCAGAGGGTGCCCCTTGGAGCTGAGGTGGCTTGAGGGGTTCATAGAGGCTGTGGGTCTGAGGGGATGCTCTGAGGGACTCAGAGGATGTCCCAAGGAGCTGAGGTGGCCTGAGGGGCTCAGAGAGTCTGAGGGTAGCTGAGGTGGCTTGAGGGGTTCATAGAGGCTGTGGGTCTGAGGGGATGTCCTGAGGGATTCAGAGGATGTCCCAAGGAGCTGAGGGGCTCAGAGAGTCTGAGGGGATGCTCTGAGGGACATAGAGAGTGCCCCATGGATCTGAGGGGCTCAGAGGGTCTGATGGGATGCTCTGAGGGACACAGAATGCCCCATGGATCTGAGATGGCCTGAGGGGCTGAGAGGGTCTTAGGGGATGCCCTGAGGCGCTCAAGGGATGCCTCAAGGGTTTGAGGTGAGCTGAGAAGGTTGGGGCATGCACTGTGCGGATGAGGGGCTCAGGGTGTGCCCCATGGAGTTCCAGAGGGATGCCCTGACGGGCTCAGGGGGCTGAGGAGAATTACCATTCTCTGTTAATTACTGAGGGAAATGCTCCTTCCCTGGCCCCTTGCATGTGGGTGATTGGGAAAGGGATCAAGAGAAACCCAGTGAGGTTTGATCCTGCACCGGCTCCTGGAATTATAAATTTGTTGAGGTTGGAAAAGACCTTTAAGACCATTGAGTCCCACCATGAATGCAGCACCGACAGGACCAGCACGTAAGCTGGGCATTCTTTAACAAACTTTTCTCTGTCTGAGGTTGTTGTAGGGTTTTTCTTGGAGGAGGGAGATGTTTTCACCCAGAGCTCCCACCAAAGCAAGGGGGAAACTTGGGACACCCAAGGGGAGCTCTGGGCTACCTGAGAAAAAGGGGAGATATTTCAAGACCAGGGGGAGGAAAAAAAAAAGCCAAACCAATAAACCACTGTCTGTTGGAAATGACAGATTGGAGAGATATTATGAGGCAGGACAGCAGGATGCCTGGCTAGATTAAATTAGCACAAGGATTCTTTTATTTTTTTTCCCCTTTATTTTAGGAAAGCGAGTGAGAATGTGGCAGCAAAATCTGCCTGCGGATGAAAAACTCTCTCAGCAGCCTTGAAGGCTGAACATCAACTGGGTGTTTCAGAAGTGAGGGGGAGCAGAAAGCACTTCATCTCAAGACCCCTTCCCAGAGGGAGTTCACTGTGTTTTCACTGGTATCAAAGCCACACGGCTCAGCAACAACACAACAAAACCCACGGGTGAGGCACAAACATCCACATCTCCTTCTGCTGCTTCACTAACGAGGCCGTTTGAAATTTGTGGCATTTCAGACTTCACTTTATCCCAGCTCCAGCCTGCAGGCATCCCCCTCCCAAAATTGCCACGGGAGTAATAAAACAAATACTTTGCTGATAATATTCTCCAACCCTGAGGACGAGATGCCACCTCAGTGTTTGGAGCCTTGCTAACAGCCACCCCAAGAGGAGCAATGCCATGTGAAACCTCTGAATGTGAAATTTAGGGGATTGAGAGTGGGGGTAAGAGCCCTGCAGCAGCCAGGAGGAGGAGGAAAAGGAGGAAGAGCCAACAGCTCGCTGCTGCACAGTGAAACCACCCCAGGATTTCTCTGCCCAATATCCTGTTACCACTTGAATCAAGACCTGGATGCCAAGCCAGCGTATTTTTAGCACATTTTGGACTTAAAGTGAAGGGAATGCTGGTGAAATACACAGTACTGACAGCCCTGGAAAATCTTTATTCATCTGCAGCACAGGCAGCAGGGAAGGCTGTGAGGAAGCAGAGCAATCCAAAGCTGCAAACCGAGCCCTCTGGTCCCTCCAGCACAGCCTGCCCAGTCCTGTGCAGTTACCCGTGGCTGCTGGAGAAGAGGATTTTTGCACACTCTGAGTGGACAGAGCACTGTGGGGAGGAGCGTGGTGTGCAGGGCTGTGTTGTGCTGCAGATTTGGACAGCCTGCAGCCTCCAGATGAGCTCTCTGTATCCCAACCAGGGCAGCTGCTGGAGCCCAGCTGGTGACAGGGCCAGAGAAGAGGGGGAGAAAACTCAGAAAACACGAATATCTGAACCCCACTGTGCAGGTCCAGGCCTGTGCTGTGCTTGCTCTGCTGATGTAGCGCTGGATCTGAGGAATGTGGGGAGCCCAATGGCACCAACGTGCCTCATCCTACCTCCAGCAGTGACTGAGACCCATTGCTCCAGGGAAGTACTGGAAAGAGGGCACTTTCACATAGAATCACAGAATCATTAAGGTTGGAAAAGACTTTTAAAATTAAGTCCAACCATTAACCCAGCAGTGCCAAACCCACCACTAAACTAAGTCCCCGAGTGCCACATCTCCATGATTTTTGAACACTTATAGGGATGGTGATTCCACCACTACCCAGAACAGCCTGTTTCAGTGCTTGACAAAACTTTCAGTGAAGAAATTTTCCGTAATGTCCAGTCTAAAGCTCCCCTGGGACAACTTGAGGACGTTTCCTCTCATCCCATTGCTGGGAGCAGACACCAACCCTCACCTCGCTGCACCCTCCTGTCAGGGAGCTGTGGAGAGTGAGAAGTTCCCCCCTGAGTCCCCTTTTCTCCAGGCTGATTCCCTCCAGCTCCCCCCAGCTGCTCCTCATCAGACTTGTGCTCCAGGCCCTTCACAAGCTTCTTTCTCCTTATGAAGCAAACCCTGTGCAGAGTTTTCCTGCTTCTGCCCCCCTCACTTGGGACCTCACTGAAACCCTCCGGCACGTTTTGGTGCCTCCCAGCCCAGAGCTGCCTGGGTGGATCTGTGCTGCCTGTGGCTGGCTGCTCTCTGAGGATGGGGCCGCCGAGGGGAAGCGAGAGCTTTCCTAGCAGCAGAAGGTCCCTTTGGCGTTCAGGGACCAGCCTGCCAGAGAGCTCGGAGGTCCCTGGACGTGTGCCTTGGACAGTAGCTGGAGCTGCTGGGAAAGGCCAAGGTGACCACAAGAGATGTTCCCCATGTCTCTTTGCCAGGAGGATGCACACACAGCGTTCACATGCTTGCCATCAACGAGCTGGAACCCCAACTGCAGGAAACTTGGGGATTTTACAATTGTTTGTCAGCCTCGAGACAAATATCTCATCCCCCCCCATCAGAAACTTGCTTCTCTACTGCGCGTGTGTTTCGAGTTTCCTCATGCAAAACCTCGCGTGGGCGTTTGGATATGTAATGAGCACATAGTTCAGGATGAAAACAAGTTTCGTGGAAGAGCCAAGTAACGCCAGAAAAATGAAAGCAATACAAACAACAACATGGCACGCAGCCATACCAGCCAGCTCGTGGGCCAGCCGGATCTCACGTCCTCCCCGGAGCTGCGGAGCCGATCAGCTGTTGGAAAAAGAGACCTTTAAAGACAAGCAAGAGAGGAAATAGCATTGGCAGCACAGGCCGCTGCATGTTTCCTTCCAAAGCAGGACAGAGCCAAGGACATTAGGCAGAGCTGTAACATTTGGGGTCTCGTTGCTCAGCCATGAAGCAAGGCAGAAACCTCAAGTGGGCTGCAGTTGTGTAAACTCCTATTGTTTAGGGAGCGGAAGCGGAGCGCTGGCCCGGCGGGGTATTGTCCTACCAGATTTTGGCGGTGCTCACCTAACCGAGCTCCTCCTGCAAGGCCAGGGCCTCGTTTAACTCAGACATGGTGCAAAGGGAGTAAAACCTCCTGCCTGCACCAGACCCAGGCTAAGAGCTTCCTCCCAAGGCAAACCCCTGCTGCCTCCCATAGCACCCTCAAAGAAAAATGTTTCTAACCAGTGGGCAAGGCTGGAACAGGACCAGAGGGAATTCCAAAAACTCCTCAAACTGGCCTCACTCATCTTCATCTTTCATTTTGATGACATGATGGAAAAACGTGGCAAAGCTTGTTGAGACCCATTTCCTGTGGGGCTGCCATGCACATCCACGCCGAAAAGGGATGAGAACAAGCCTTAAAACCAGATGATGTTTTATTTCTCCCCTTAGAGAGAGGGATCATCTGTGCCTCCTTACAATGCAGTAAAACAATACCTCCTTCAGCATAATAAAATACGTCTCCTGATCTAGGCCCTGATCCAAGCATCTGCTCCTGGGCTAAACACTCCAATACCTGCTTGAGTCCTCTTCACTGCCTCTTGCAGCATCCGTCCTTTGGTTGAAGGCTTAAATCAGTGAAAGACCTCACTGACAATCCAGAAGATTGAAAAGGGCCCGAAATGCCAGCGCCTCCATGCACACATTGGCATAATTCTCTGCATAAAAGCCAGCTTTAAAAGGCTTGTTTTGCAAAGCACAAGTGCACATTTTTTTTGAATCAAGGTCAGTAACTCAGCTTCATTCACTAGTCTCCAGCTGCAAAACAACATGCCCCAGACAATGGAGGAAAGTGTATTTGAGTCAGAAGATGCCTTTTAAGGGATGCAAGTGGCTCTGAGCCACACTGGGGAAAGAAGATCTCCTTGGTACCCTGGTAAATCAGCCCTGTCTGAACTGAATAGGGCACCCGAGGGCAGGGAAAGCCAGTGAAATGGGAATGGTGGCACAAATCACACTCACACTCGCCATGCTTTGGTAAAATCACAGAGTGGTTTGGGTTGGAAGGAACCTTAAAATCATCTAGTCCCAACCTCACCCGCCATGAACAGGGATACCTTCCACTAGATCACATTGCTCAAGGCCTTATCCAGCCTGGCCTGGACACTGCCAGGGTTGGGTCATCCACATCCTCCCACTGGTGCTCCAGTGCCTCAC